GGGGGGGGGGGGGGGAGGTTACACTTTTCTGGAACTCTCTACCCGGCATTTTCACGTTCTGACCTCTGTCAGTTTTCCAAAAGATGCCCTAATTAATTTACGAGCCTCGAAACAAAGTTCAAAAGAAATCCAGTCATTTGTTAGAAGCAACATTTTTGGCAATGCCTGCTGTGGAGTCAGATCTGATTTCCGTTTAATGATGGCTGAACTTTCCCCATGTCTCCCCTCCCCTCAGTCTGTCATAAATCACATCCACCAACAAAGTGCTTTAATGATGACTGAACTTTACTCCTGCGTCTCCCCTCCCCTCAGTCTGTGTCATAAATCACATCCACCAACAAAGTGCTTTAATGATGACTGAACTTTACTCCTGCATCTCCCCTCCCCTCAGTCTGTGTCATAAATCACCCCTCCCAACAAAGTGCTTTAATGATGGCTGAACTTTACCCCTGCGACTCCTCTCCCCTCAGTCTGTGTCATAAATCACATCCACCAACAAAGTGCTTTAATGATGACTGAACTTTACTCCTGCATCTCCCCTCCCCTCAGTCTGTGTCATAAATCACACCCACCAACAAAGTGCTTTAATGATGGCTGAACTTTACCCCTGCGACTCCTCTCCCCTCAGTCTGTGTCATAAATCACATCCACCAACAAAGTGCTGAAGCAGGTTGTAAAATTTTGTGCTTCACGCATCTGCTGTAGAAATCTGAGATCTGACCTTGGAATTCTCTCCTGCTTCTCCTCCAATGTCAACTTGATAACAGGCATGGAAATGCTTTACAAGTTGACAACCTGCCTATACCAGCACAACCACGACAAGAAAGAAATATATGTTTTTAAAAAGTAGGTCCGTGCAGTTTTACCTGGCAAAACATATTCATCTGCCTCTTCCTCCATTTCCAGCTTCAGCAATTCTGAAAGGGGAGAAAGATAAGAGGAGATAAATAAGAATCATGCCTCCCCTCCCCCCATTTTAAGCTTATAGGGGATTATAGGTAGCCCTCGACTCATTTAGTGATCATTCAAAGTTGCAGTGGCACGGGAAAAAATGATTTATGGCCATTTTTCACACTCTCGACCATGGCAGCATCTCACATGGTCACATGATTGAAATTCAGACGCTTGGCAACTGGCTCATACTTATGACAGTTGCAGCATCTCGGAGTTCCTTTTTTGACCTTCCGACAAGCAAAGTCCATCGGGAAGTTGGGTTCACCGAACAACCATGTTACTAACTTAACAACCATGGTGAGTCACTTAATAACAATGCAAAGAAAGGTCGTAAAAGGGAGCAAAACTCCTTAATGAATGTCTTGCTTAGCAACATATATTTTGGGCTCGGGCGTGGTCGTAAGTCAAGGACTAGCTGTAATGTCAGGGCTCCTGGGCTTAGATGGGGGGGGACGGACCAGCCCTGACAACACCCCCCCACCCCCCGTGCAGCTTCAATGGCTGAGGGGAGAATCAGAACCTGGGTCTCCCCACTCTTAGCCCAACCCCCTTCCTCTCTACCTGACACTGAATTTTGGAGTGAAAGGGAGAGGTTGGCCCCAAATTCCCTGGGGGTTTCTGAGGCTGTGAAAGGACCAAACCCGACTCTTTCTGCTCCTAGACCAAAAGTAACTGTGAGAGGGATCCTAGTGGACAACCCTTTATATAGGAGCCAGCCGTGTGCAGCAGCTGACAAAAAAGCCAACACAGTTCTAGGCTGCATAAACAGAGGGATAGAATCAAGATCANGCACAGCACTTGATCAATGTAATTCTCATCAATCAGTTAAAGAGCTTTCCAAAAGGGGAAAAAAGTTTTTGCACTCTGCAAACCTACCAAAAATGGCCATTTTTCACGAAAATGGACCCTCCCCCCCAAAGGCATGAATAGCCTTGGGGGGGCTTGCAGAGTGCTCCTGGGGGATGCCTCCCAAAATGAGCAAAAATGGTCCATTTTGGGACCGTTTTTTGTCACAAAACTGCATGCATAGCCTTATGGAGGCTTCTAGAGTGCTGCTGGGGGTTGGGGGGGCAAAAAATAGTCCATTTTTTGGTCATTTCTGCCCTCCCCAGCCCCAGTAGCTCTCTGAAAGCTTCCATAAGGCTTTGCACAGCCATTTTGGTGAAGGGGCGGTGCTTCAGGAGGCAAAAAAATGCTGTATTCAGTGTATAAGACACACCCAGATTTTCAGCCTCTATTTTGGCGTCTTATACACCAAAAAATACAGTAAGTTTTAATTATGGCTGCTTGAGAGCAAGCTATTCAAACTAATGTAATTAAGACCAGAATTGAAAAATTGTCAAATGAGTCAAAGTGAAGATTTGACTCATTTGACAATTAACATTTTAATCTAATTTCTAATTTTAATACATTAAAATAATGCTACACAGATATTTGCCAACAGAAGCCTGCCAATGAGAAAGGAATAAGGAATAAGGAACAACAACTCCTGTTTCCCCCCCATTGTGCAGGCACCCGTCTGACACTTTTTCCCCCTCTTATACTCACAACTTTACCAGAGTCCTCTCAGCTTTGGACATGACCCGGACTGAGGGCGCAACCCTCTTCCACAATACAAGAGAGTGATCAGCTGTCAGGGGAGACTATAGGCCACAAGGTCCCAGCCACAGGACTCCCTGGACTGTTTTGCCAGTGACATATGTACATTGGAAAAGACACAGGCTGTCTGAGAAGCAAGTCCAGTTGTGACCCTTCCCTTGCAGCCAAATTCTGGGATGGGTCTCATTCTATCTACCTAACTCACACTCCCTATTTAACTAACTGCAGTCCACCAAGGGACCAATTGGCTTATCTCTGATCCAAAGTAGATGGTATGTTTGAAAGCGGGCTGGTCACCTACCGTGTTTTCCCGAAAATAAGACAGGGTCTTATTGTATTTTGACCCACAAAATATGGCCTTGGTCTTATTATTGGGGGGTGTCTTATTATTTTGGGGATGCAGGAGGCAGCAAGCATGGGACTGCATGTCCTGTCGCCCCCATCGCCTCCCCTCCCTGTTCTTTGCGCTGGCCAAGCGGCTGGCCGGCACTACTCTGATGCGTCTTGTCACCACCTTGAGTCAGGTTGGGCTTTCTTTGTGAGGAGGACAATTTGGAGAGTGAGAGATTTAGGAAGCCTGGGTTGGCGTGGGGCAGTTTCTCCAGTGAAGAGTCTGATTCACCCTGTAAAAAAAAATCTCGCGAGTTCAACTTCCCTGAACAAAACAGTGAGGAACATGATGGAGCTGCAAGTCTCGGGTAGGACACATGTCTTGCAGTCCAACTCCTCCCAACCCGCCCCAATGCTAACAGAATCCAGGCTGTTTCCCTTCCCCACCATCTCTTTAGTGAGACGGGTGGCAGGTGGGGTGGGGGAGAAGCGAGACGTGTGGAGCGAGACGTGGCTCCTCTTATTGTCACTTCTCCTCCCTCCTCACCAGGCATGCCAGGCTTCCTCTGCAGCTTTCAAGCCAGGGCAGAGATGACGAAGGTGAAATGTTCACCCCTGGGGATGAATCAGATGCTTCACTGGAGAAATGGATCCACACCAGCCCAGGCTTCCTAAATCTCTTACTCCCCAGATCATCCGCCTTACAAAGAAAGCCCAACCTGACGCAAATGCCGCCTCCAACTACCTCTTCATCCCAGTGAAACTACGTTTTGAAAGGATGATCTGCAGGGGGGGATTTCCTGAACATTAGCAGCGGCATCTCCTCACAGGGCTTCTCCCATTGTCCCAGGTGCGAAGCAACATCCTGTAAAGGAAGGCAATGGAAATCCATACAACTGGGGATGTCGGAAGAAGCCTTGTGAGAATACGCCGCTGCTGATGTGCAAGAAATCTCCCCCCTCCACCTTCAGATAGACTTGTGGGCTGGCCGGAGAGGTCTTCAATAAACTTCACTCTGTCTGTGTCTCTGCAGGCAGCAGTGTCGGCAGCATCTCCTCACAGAGCTCATTCTTCCTTCTCTCTGGCTGATTCTCAAATATTTTCAAGCCAAACACTGCCAAAAAGGGAAGTGTCTCTTCTCCCTCCCTTGCCAAACATTTCACAAAGGCGTAACATTTCATAAAGCTCCTTAATCCGTGGCTGCTGGCTCCCTCGCTTTGTGTTTTTTATACACATACCAACATACCCACCCTTCCTGGGAATGCCATTTCCCACTCCCAAGATTCCATTTCCAAGGAAAGAAGAGTGCTTGGGCCACACTGGACATTCCCCCCTGCCCTGACTCCTGTCAGCCTCAACTTTGCTCCTGAAATCCTGTGGGCCACTTCTCTGCTTGAGCTCAGCTGAAGGGGGGGCTGAAAGCAAGGGTGAGATAAAGCTTATTGTGTCCCCTTTGCCTCCTGTCCCAAAAGCAGTCTCGGGTGCAGCCACTTTTGCAGCAGGAGACTCAAGCCGACCTTCTGAAGGGTACTGTAGCAGCAGCTATCCACAATTTTTTTACCCTTATTTTGTCCCAGTCCACGTGGCTCACTGGGCCATGTGGGTCGGGATGAAATAATGATTAAAAAATTGTGGATAACTGCTGCTACAGTACCCTTTGGAAGGCCGGTGCAAGGCACGTGGGGTGCATCACCTGGCCTCCTGCTGCTTTTGTGGCTGTAATCGATGGCAAAAGCAGCCACACTTCCTGGAGGCCACGGCCTGAGCAACACCCACAAATCAGCTGTTTTTTGAATGGCAGCTGGATCGTCTCAACTGATCTGATTAAGGAGCAGAGAAATGCTGAGGTGACCAGGGAAGGGAATGGCTTCCTCCTGTACTTGCTACGGAACCCTTTCACTAGGGCATATTTTTGGGGGAGGGCATATATTTACACCCATCTCAAAAACCAGGCAAAAACCAGGCCTGGGCTTATTAGCAGGACATGTTGAATTTTCGGGGGAACACTGTATATGCCAAACCAGAATTGGTCAGAATTCCAGTTGGACAGCAAGTCCTGCCAGCATCTGTTTCTTTTTTTTTATTGAACATTTTTGGAAAAAAAAAACCACAAACTTTTACAAATGTTTAGTTCCCAAATTATCCTTGACTTGCATATTTTTTATCTATTTTCCATCTAGCCTGTAACTGCCCGTACTGAAACCATGTTTGAATTACCTTTTTCTTTTTTAGTACATCCAAGG